GTCCCTTCTCCCTCCTCCCTCTCCCCTGGTCCGTCCACAGCCCCACTTAAACCCTCTTTTAAGATTCATTCAATGAAAAAGACCCACAACCTCCACCTCAGAAGTTTTCGGGTAGACAAAAAAAAAAAAAAAAAAAAAAGTTGGGGGCTAGACGACACCTACAGTACTCAAAAAGTCGTTAAAAACAAAACGAAAAAAAAACTGTGTCAAATTGTCAATAGATTTGAAATGTGAACTTTCAGTAGAGGCAGTCAGTCTCCCGCTATGTACCTGATCCAGTCTTCCTCTTCACACCACTTGGTGGCATCGTGTCGCACACCTGTATGGTGCGACTCTTTTTGGCATTATTCGCTTCTTTGTACAATTGCATCAACCTGCTCACACCCTTTGTCTGCACCTCCTCCTGCTCCTTAACCTTGGCCTGTAAGAGAACAACCAAACGCCAGCAAGAATGAGAAGGCATTCCAAATGCCAATTAAAAAAAAACAAAAAAACAAAGAAGCAAATTATTGAATTCACAGATGAGGCATATCAGGCTTAATACTCTCCAGACTTCATACTCCACAGAAGAATTTTTTTTTTTTTTTTTTTTTTAAACACACCCTCACCGGTGATAGTGGTGCTGATAAGAGCAGACACCACTACCACCCGGGGAGAGGCTCCATCTATTGGTGGGGAGCGTCACCTGCTGGAAAACGGGTCCAGCGTCCCATATACAGAATGTAATCAAAGATCTTCCGAGAAGCAATGAAGGAAACTCCTGCCAGCATTGATTACCCTGGATTCCAGGGGATTGACTGAGCAGGACATAAAGAGAAGACTAGAAATGCTCTGGGTTAAAACAGCCACGGAGCCGGACATTTTGTGAAGTGTATCTCTTCACCCTCCAACAAAGGGCGCCAGATAGGCAGCTACGAGCTAATACCATTCAAATGCCGCTGCTCCCTCCGCCTGTCGTAGATGTTCCATCTCCTAGATGATCCTTAAGCTATTCACAGGTACTCAATGTATTCCAGGAAATCATCCATCCATCCCGTACCACTGCATTCCCACTAAGCAATTCGATGGGGGGAGGAAAAAGTCTGGAAAATTCTCGGGGGGCTTCAATGGGATAGTCGAGTTAATGTTGGTCCAGTCATGGAATATCAATCTGGAAGCTCTTATCCATTCCACCCTCCCTTGGCCCTCCCCGTATTCTTGTTGTGTCCCTTTCCATTCCACCCTCCCTAGTTTCCCCCCGGTTATCCCCCCGAGCCAGMTTGAGGARAAAGCCTGAATTTTTTGTTTGATGTCATCMTGTGTATTTMGGGAGCGGATCTGTGTTTTGACCTCCTCCCATTTGTCTGTTATTCCTAGTTGAACCTGTTGTTGCACATTTTCTATGACTTCGGGGCCCTCTAGCCTTGCTCCTTCCATCTCGTATGTGCAACGTCTTCTCYAGAGTGCCCAAAGTACYGMCCTCCTTCCYAGTTTGAAGAGGTTGTTKGTGAATTCATCGAGSGGGTCAACCCGATCCCTGGGCCAGGCCTCGCACAGTAGGGCCTTCCAGTCCCATGGCCACGGGGTTGTTGTCTCCAGTTGGTCCCAGATTCTGTCCCACCATCTCCACAACCAGAGTGCGCCAGGGCATTGTACGAATATGTGCTCAATTGTCTCCGGATGTTTTCTGGAGGGAATCGCGTTGGTGCACAACTTGCACCAGGGTAGCGCTTGGCCTTTTTGTTCCAGGGATGTTCTGTCTATCAACAAATTATTGGTTGGTAGGCAGCGGTGCTCAATCTGCCATTGAAGTGAGGCGAAGTTGGCTGGTTTCACCCTCACCAATTTGAACCACTTAATTGGTCTCAGATCCTCTTTGCTGATATTCAGTTGGTTCCACCATCGGTCCTCCACTTGATCTCTTAGATTAATCTTTGGCCTCAGGAGTCTGTAGGTAGATTTGACTGTTAGGCTGTACGGTGATTTGGTGTGAGTCCTGCCCTTCCCCATCTGGGTCGTCCATTTCCATTCCTCCGGGTCCAGGGCTAGATGGTGGATTGGCATAGAGGGGAGGAAGGCTATCCATTGTTCCTCTTCTTTAAGGACTCTGATTCTGAATGCGTCCTCCTTCTGACATATCTTCCGGGTTGCTCCTTTCGAGGACATTCCTTCTCTGTGTTAGAAAAAGGCTCACCACCATTGCCCCATCGGGGAGGTTGCAGACTACATTGCCCACCGTGCCTTGTATGTCCCGGAATGCAACCCAGTCGGCCTGTTGCAGGGTGGGACCTTTACGTAAGTTCCTCCACCAATCTAACGGAATCTTTTCCACTATCCCTTCCAGTGCTTCTTGGGGCCGGTGGCAGTATCACAGTCTCTCCCTTAACTGGTCTGGGTCAATCCAATCTTTTTTGTTTGTGTCCCATATATCTTTTATTCTTGTTAGTCCTTTTCTGACCCAGCCCCGCCAGGGGGAGGCCATGCAATGCAGAGTCTGGCCCTTTGAGTCCACCACCCATCTATTGCCAAATAATGGTTGTCGCGCCACTTCCTCCCATCTTGTTGGAGGGGACTTGTCTGGTAGCGGGAGGCTTCACCACGTTTTGATGAGGTGAGGCCAGAAGGGGTCCTTTCGCAAGTCAGACCTTGCTGCTTGCCTTGGTGAGTCAGGATCGGGGGCTTGTGTCCGTGCTCCTGTCCTCGGGGTGGGCCATTCCCTGTTTTCCAACCACATTACTGGATTACTGACTTCTGATGTCTGGGGGGCCAGGCGGGAGATTTGTTCCAGGGCCAGCCCTTTCCACGGGAATTCGAGGTCGAACAACAGGCGTTTAAGCCATTGTATTGCTAATGCTTTAGTCTGTGTCAGGGGGTCGATGATGCCCAAGCCGCCTTTCGTTTTGGGCTGGGTAATGGATTGCCACGCCACTCGGCTAATCACATTATGTTTCTCATGATCCCCCCGCCATAGGAAGGCGGTGATCTGGCGTTGCAGGGGCCGCAGGTCCTTGTCTAATGCCCAGATGGCCGATTTATACCATAGTGTGGCCAGTACCACATTATTGATGATCAGAGATCGGCCGAATAAGGAGGTATGCTTATCCTTCCAGAGGGTCATCTTTGCCAAAGGTGGGCCAGTGATCCACTCTATGTTAGTAGGTGGACTGCCGTTTGCTGTTATTGAGATACCCAGCACCCTGATGGGCGCCTCCTGGGGGAGCCAGTTTAGCCTGGGGATTTCTGGTGGCCTCACCCCTTGGTGGTGTATCCACCATCCTTGGGTTTTATTTCCCCAGTTAACTTTCATGTCTGAGCATTTGCAGAAGCGGTCCATCATGTTTTGTACCTCTTCCATTGATTCTCTTGATGCATCTACCATCAGGGTCAAGTCGTCAGCGAACAGCGAGCAAACCGGGATTGCCTCCTGGGGGATTGTTGTTACCTGAATTCTTTTAATCTCCTTGTGTGTTCTCAGGTTGGCGGCTAGTGCTTCCATGATTATAACGAAGAGGTAAGGGGCTATCGAGTCTCCTTGCCTGACAGACCTCTGAAGGTTTATGGAAGGGGCCAGGTTACTATTTACCATTACCCTCGTGGTCGCGTTGGTATGCAAGATTTTTACCCAACGTCTGAAACCTGGTCCAAAGTTGAATTTCTCCAGGCACTTATCTAAGAAGTGCCAATCCACGTGGTCATAGGCTTTTTCAAAGTCGATGATGATCGCTGCATTGCCCTTGGACTGCCTTGTTAATTTGATCATCTCGTTGACTAATAGGATGTTATCCTGGATGTTTCGGTCCTGAATGAACCCCGTTTGGTCCGGATGTATGATGTCCGCCATTAACAATATAATAAAATAATAAGGGAAAAGTGTTTTATGCTCTCAAAAGAGAAACTGACAGCCGATGAAATCCTGCCATTGTATTCAGTTTTGATCAGCACACGCCCTGTACAGCTGGCACCGGAAAAAAAAACGGTATTAAAAAAAGAACAAAAAAAAAACAAAACCAAAGAAGAAAAAGAAGAAGAAGAAAAGAAAAAAAGAAAGAAAAAACGGTATTGGTAAGAAGAAGAAGAAGAAGAAGAAGAAGAAGAAGAAGAAAGAAAGAAAGAAAGAAAGAAAAAACGGTATTGGTAAGAAGAAGAAGAAGAAGAAGAAAAGAAAGAAAAAAAAAACGGTATTGGTATTGTACTCGAGGTTTTTCATCGGGGCGAAAGGTACGATCAGTACCCAGCTGCATTCTGTATTCACAAAACAACTAGCAGCTGATAGCCCGGCTGTACTGCAGATGGGTTAAACAAAGTGGTGGATTTGTATTTGGACAGAGCAGGCAGTAGCCAGCTACCATTCGATGCAAAGGTTAAGTATATCATATAGCGCATAGCACTACATAGAAGCAGATACATAGCTCCACATAGCACATCACACTACAAAGCAGCGCATAAATAGCTTCCCATAGCACATAGCTCCACATAAATAGCTCCACATAGCAGCACATAGCTCTACATAGCTGTTAGTAGCTAGCTGGCTATCATTCCACATAGCACAGTTCCCCGATTACCATTGCATATAGCAGCACATAGCAGTACATAGCATACGACAGTGCACCACATAGCAGCACATTAATAGCTCCACATAGCACATAGCACATAGCACTACATAACAGCACATGAATAGCTCCACATAGAAGCACATAAATAGCTCCACACATAGCAGCCATGTACATAGCTCTACAAAGCTGCTAGAAGCTGGTTCCCATGGCACATAGCAGGTAGCCGGTTCCCATTGCGCATAGCAGCACATAGCAGCACACAGCACTGCATTGCGCATAGCAGCACATAGCAGCACACAGCACTGCATAGCACTACATAGCAGCACATAGCAGCACACAGCACTGCATAGCAGCACATAGCAGCACACA